CAGCGTAATGTCAGTTCATGCATTGTATTAATGATAATTTTGTCCTTTTTAGCAAGTAATATTACACCATATTTTCGACATGATTGTAGTGCATCCACTTTGACGTGATATCAAAATTATTTTTTTGCTGTGTACGTGAATTTTAACGACGGCCTTTAGAAGGAGAATTTTTGACTGACGATGGCATAGTCCGAATTGTTCATGATCAGCCATCTAGCAGCAGTATCGATGATCAAAACCACTCATTGACTGATGAAACTGTTGACAATGAATTAACCAGTGCGCCTTCTAAGCATAAACTTTCAGAGATGCTTTCCAAACAATATATGCTAGTTTATTAACTACGGAAGATCTGCCAAAGGACAGTTTCAGCAAATTTTTTGAATAAAAAAAAACAGGTTCTAGGGGAAGAATGAATTGACATTTGATTTGGTATAATCTTAAACTATATGTATTGTATTGTTAAAAATCGATTGCAATCATCTAAAAATATGCTTTGATTGTTTAGCATGGAGTAACGTTTCTCTCTCTATAACGACATTGAAATTCTGTATAACGACTATCTTTTATAACGACAGTTCTCTATAACGACAGTCCCCTGCGATGTCGCTATAAAGAGCTTTGACTGTATGTGATTTCTTTAATGTTAACGGAACTGCTCTTAAGCTCTCTGTTCTTTTCTGAATTTCTCCAAACTTCTCTAAAAATTTTGCAGTTCTCATGAAGCTTGTTGTACTGCGCTGAATTTCATTGAACCGTCCTAAAAATGTTTAAGCTTAAGTGAACTTCTGAACTCATGTGAAGACATCAATTAGCTTTTTACCGTCTCTGAAGATATCTGAACATCTGGGAACTGCTTTAAATTTCCCACAAATTTTCTGAAACTACTGGAACTGAACTCCCCTCGAAATCCCTCAAATTTTCGGAGCGTACTTCACTTCTTTAAAATGCTCCCGCACCATGATGAGCACCCCACCATGTGGCGCAAATTGAACGGAGAAAGTTGAAACTCTGTTGAAATTTTTGCTCCAAATACGTAATATGGGTACTCCAAGTGCACTTTAAATCAAACCAGACCCCAAGGTGATTACAATGATTGAGTAATATTTCTGCCCAAAAGATTGGGCTGGGTACCGCTTTCGAGTAAACACTACAAGTTCAGTTTTCTGCGAAGACAAGTTATCTAAGGAACTTTGCAATGATCCTTGCAAGTCCACAGCTTGTGGACCTCTTACGGAAACCTACACTGTCATCTTCAAGTTGTCTTAGCGTGCATTGTTCTGCCAAACAGTTGTCGATATCTTTGACATAACATTTATGAAGAAGAGGGCTGAGACATGAGCCTTGGGGCAGGCCCATGTAACTAATTTTGGAAGTTGTCAGTTGTCCAAGGGAAAAGTTCATCTGCTTTTCTGACAACAAATTGAACAAGCAATTATTTAAAATTCCAGAAAGTCCACATCTGTGCAGATTGTCTGACATAATTTCAATGGAAACTGAATCAACAGCCCCCTTATTGTCCAAGAATACTGAAGCCAATTGCTCCTTGTGCGCAAAGGCCAGTTGAATATCTGTGGAAAGACAATCGTTTGTTCCTTTGCTCTTGCGGAACTCTAAACTGTATATTTGATAGCAAGTTATTAGTTTCGACCCACTGATCGAGTCTCCGAAGGATCATTTTCTCCAACAATTTCCTAATGCACGAAAGCATCGCAATCGGATGGTATGAGTTATGGTCAGACGCTGGTTTGCCAGGTTTTCGAATGGCTATTACTTTGACCTGTCTCCATTCAGGCGGTACAATGTTGTTTGCTAGTAAAGAATTGAATAAGTCTAGCAAGCGTCTTTTAGCGATATCTGAGAGATTTTTTCAGAAGAATCCTTTAGTTTTTACGAACCTCTCAACGGAATCCCCTTATGAAGAGCTTTTTGAGTGTGTTGATCTATTTCCTTTTAATTTCGTTATAGCTGCTTATCTTTTGACAGATAAGGTGTGGAGTACTTGACTCTGTCAAAAGATAAGCAATTATAACTGAATTAAAAGGAAATAAATCAACACATTCAAAAAGTTCTTGTTATAGTATATTTGTTATTAGGCAAATCAAAAACAGAAATGCAATTTTAAATTTTATATCAGTCATAATTAAACACACAAGGGAGCAAAGAATATAACCCATACACACTTAGTTTTTTCTACCGAGCTCGGCTGTGCAAATCTCGGCAAAAAAGTTTTACTGAGATCTCAGCAAACATTACATTTGTTTGCTGAGATTCAGCTTAGTATTATCCGAGACACAGCAATCAAATGTCACTTTTGCTGAGATCTCAGTAAAACTTTTTTGCCGAGATTTGCACAGCCGAGCTCGGTAGAAAAAAAACTAAATATGTAGCTGTTGGATGTAGCTGTTTGTCATGTTTGTTTTTGGTGCGATTGACGGAACTGGGTCCAATACTTCCTTTCGAAATAAATAATTCTTTTCAACTATATAATCCCACGTAACATTTAAAGTTTTATAGTGGTTTTATAGCATTCTACAAGTGTAAATCTTGGTCTACAGAATCCTTATAAAACCAGCATTGTTACTTGGGATGTTTGATCGAGTTGATGAAGCTGAACAACCTTTCTCAAATTAATAAAAGATGCAGGGCGTCTTAACTACCTTTGGGGCCCTGGTCTATTTTTTATTGTGCGGCTCCCTATGATTTCTAACACATACTTGCGACAATCCATTTTCATTTATTTTTTGTTTTCTAGCCTGATTTTATTTTAACACCCTTTCTACTAAATAAACTAAATTTGTTAACGACTCTTAACACTTGCAAATTTGTTAATAGAAGTGTTGATATAAATTTTCATCAATATTTCGTACTCAATATTGATGATCAGTAATCACCCAAGCAGCAGACTTCGATCGAAATAAGCTGCTGCAACTTTATTGTGACTGTAATAAGTGGCACACAAGTAACCACAATTGTTCAGTAACATGTGTGCTGCTAGGGCAATTATGGTTCAATTAACCTTGACGAGTTTTCGAAAAATAAAAAATTAAACAGTTTACTACGACGCATTATTTAAGATTGTAAAAAGTCACGGCAATTTTTTCCCTTTTACTATTGTATACAAGGCTGGTTTAAGGGATCTCTCAATTTATTTTTCAATCATTGAAATCTATCTTGAAAAGTTGGTAGTTATTATTGAAATAAATATCCTGTGGATTATTTCCACTTTTAGGAAAATCAATTTCCCAAATAGCAATTTTGATTTTATCACAGCTTTGTTGTCCATGTTTTGGACTTATATAATGCTTTAAGACATTGATAAAACTTGTAATACTACTTGGGATTAGTCCGTACGTCAATAATTAGTTTATACAACTCATCTACTTCTGATTTCCAGTTCTGACTTACTAAAATCAAACGAGGTGACTTTCTAGTCATAGTACATTGAAAAAATTCATCGAACGTAAACATTATAGAAACCAGTTCAATGCAGATCACAATCTTCACCAAGGTGAGCGGTTCGTGATTCAAGAGCTACAAGAATGGATTAGGTGTCCTTCTACCTCGTTGCTTCATCTTATTTTAACCCCAACGTATAAATTGTGAAAACGCCTTTAATGCCGTATATATTGTTATGTAGGCCTGATTTTGTTAAATCATTAGCCTCATCAATTCGGTAGCATTTCTCAATATTATGAAACACACAACTTTACCCAAGAATCCTCTCTCTAGGATGCTCCATTTAAAATATAAATTCGAGAACATTCTAGGTGGTGAGAGCAAAAACTAAACAGAAACCTAAAAAAGTTTTTGCTTTGTAAACCGAGCAACTTTGTTGAAGACCGTAGACCTGTAGAAAATATACCCACTTATCCAGTCTAGCTGCTCTAATGTTCTCCTGTAATATAACAGTATATGCGAGAGTTTTTAATTTTATTTTCATGTTATCAACTTGTATGATTTATTGATTCAAATTTTCAAAGCTTTAGTGTTCGATACAAATACAAAACTAACCAATGATTAATGTCTGGAAACATATGATTGAGCAGGATATGATTGTTGTCCCTGAGCCGGAGGCCCCCTCTAAACTTCTTCAGCCCACCATCGGCCTACCGTGAATACGGCACTGAAACGAAGTCACCAATGAAAATCTTCCTACACATTTGCTGGCTAAACATGGATTAATTCTAACAACTTCTATATTTTCAGATAAGTTACAACGTATTTGATGATCGAAAACTAGATCATTGATGCAACTTTCACGTGATGAATTAACCGACGTCAACTCAATCGAAAAGCAATCAACCTCCATCCATCAGTAATCCGCACGGGTTTTCAATTTTCCATTGTAATCCAAAAAGCATCGACTGGAGGTGTCAACTTGGTTACAACCTTGCAAACCCACTGCTGTCGTGATTCAATATCATCCATCACCGTCATCATCGTCAGTTTCACCGGTAGTAAAATTTTCATAAGAATTGGCCCTCACCTCCTTCACTGCTGTGGCCGCCAACGGCAGATATGAGGAGGAAAATTAAATCGGCAAGCAGTCCTTCATACTTCTAGCTAGGTGGGTACAGTTCAGTTGAAATTAAAGCAAGTAAGTACACATGCCGCGGTCGGTCGGTGGATGGAAATCAGTGCTCTGTCGCACAAAAATACAGTAGGCGGCAAAAAACCACGCTAAGCACATGCTAATGACGCTAATAAAGTACAACTATACACGGTGTGTGTGTGTGTGTGTGCACCGATCACGAAGGGGTGGAGGAAAACATAACCTATATTTAGCACGCTAGTTATTTCGTGAAAATAAGCACTTGTTTCATTCATAAAATTATGAGGTTCCGTCGACGAAATCAACGAAAGTCGCGCGCGTCGATACATGTTCATTTTTTCCCCCCAAAACAACAGCGACTCTCAGATTGTGGACAAGGTAATTAAGTTTGATGACTTTTTGTGTGAATTAGGTAGGTGGGGAGAAGGTCGCGTTCGGTACTAACCTTTTACAAGAAAGATCTGCAGCAGCACTAGCAAACACCACATTTCATATTCCGTTCTACCGGAGCTTGGTTCGATTGGAAGATTTGATTTCGTTTTCCGTTTGGGTTGGTTTTATTTTCCGTCTTGAATTGTTGTGATTATTTGTTTACTGGTGTGTGGTGTGTTTCGCCATCATGATGGAGATTGATTCGATCTTTCAGTGGCGTGTAAAATAAATCATCATTTTCACAGCTTGGTTTTTACGATTTAATTTTTATCGACTGCGATAAACAGGACTCCAGCCGGAAGGAGATTGTACTTATTTTTTATCTCCTCGTTGCAGGGAAGATAAGACCGAGATTTTCACATTTGTTTATACGTCACGGGTTCTCCTCTCGCTCTGGTCACGATGTCTAGAGTGGTTCCCTTGAAATTAAGTGCACCGAGAAAGGTATCATACATAAATTTTCACCCGTTTTCCTCTAGCTCACATCGGGCCCACTTGCACTGGCATCCCGCATGAAACACACGGGAAAATTCTTCGTTTCTCACTTTGGCTGCAATTCGACTTAGATATATAGCACACTTGCACTCGCACTTGATGATGCCCCTCTAAATCCTCGACCTTAGAACCGAGAAAGGGCTACGCTGCTATTTTCCACCGGTATTTAAACTGTAGCAAAACATCCGCGTAAATCAACTCCCTATGGGAGAGCAAGTCAGGGCACGGCAAACACGGATGCTTCCTGCTGTGATTAATGACTTCCAAATAAAACAAACTAACTTATATATCTTCCCAGCGTCCGGAGCGTCCCTCCTAGACACACACGCACTCACACCGGGCCCAAACCGGACGAACTTTGGCCTCCCGCCTGCCTCGGAGCTGGTGGTGGTAATGTTTACGGTTTGTCTGCCACCAAACTGCGGAAATTCGACGTCGTAAATCCGCTCGGTGGGAATCCCTACTCGGCCACCGCACCAGACCAGACAGCTAACTGGTTCAGGTTTTCCCTTATGTAGCAACACCAGACATACAGGTGGCACAGAGGTAGAATGATGATGCGACTTTTCAGTCTCTCGCCTCTAGTTGCCTTGGAAAACAACTCGCACACAAATTGAACCTAATTGAGATGAATTTGCATTGATCCGTTTGATTGGCACACAGTATCAAGGGCCTGGAAACTCGATTAACTCTTCCAATATGCCGAAAAAAAAGAACACCTCTACACGATCCTTGAAATGACACTCGGTAACGAAGCGCGGAACTGCGGGAGGATCAACCGCGGGAGAAGCAGAGCAACCGCGAATTTGTGCGTCCGTAGCGGTCCGACCGATTTAGTTGCACATTCATCTACGCTCAGCGTTGATAATAGACTGAATTTTTCGGAAGGAAAACGTAAACCGAGAGCATAAGGAGCATGGGGATCGCCGTCGCACCGTGGGTTGATGTTGCTCCCACTCAGCAGCACCAGACGACTTTCTCTCTTTGAACTTGGAGAGTTCCACCAAGTAGCTAAGCAGCCAAACGCACAGCATGATGGAAGGAGCATTTATTATGCTTTCTCTCCGAAGGAAATGCAGTGCGAGAGCGAGAGCCAGGGAGGCATTTTTTATGCTGCTGCCGAACTACCGAAGTACGAAAATATACTGCAGCGGATTCCAATAAGAAACCCGTGAGCATGCGTACGTTCCGGTGAAGTGGAAAATGTTGACCCTCTGGTGGTGGGAAATGGAACTCTACAGCTCTGGTCAGTCTCATCAGTTTTGTGAATGGGTAGGTATACAGTGCCAGAAATTCCTATAATCGCATGGCCACTTTTCGATCTTATGTTCCATTCAAATGTCAAACCCAAAGCATATGTATTGATTGTAGTAGACTCTCGACCGATCAGTTATCTTTACTACTGGGCATGGTAATATGGTTCAAGTTTTATTTGAAATAGGTAGAACGCCTTTTATTGATGGATATTCATATAAGCTCAGCATTAGTTTCAAACTAAGGAACTTGTATAAGTTAAAGGACTGCTTAAATTAGTATTTGATATGGGTCATTTTTCCAAAATTGTTACCTTAAATCAAGAGTTAATGTAATGTTTAATCATTTTTAGAGTAATTTTAGCAATTCATCGGCTATAGGCGTTTGTAGTACACCAGCTGTTCCAAACTGCTGTCTACTACTGTATACCAAATTTTCGAGGATCCTCCAACAATTTTCAATGGAATTCAGATCAGTGATGCATACCGGACCAGTTCAAAAGCTTGATATTAAGCAATAACAATCATGGTTTAGATTCCTCTTTCACGTGAATTGTGGCATCATTCTGTTGAAAGTAGAAATTGACCTTCGTAAATGGCATCAAAACATCGCCCAGAAGTTCTTAAAAGTATTCCAATATCATTCTACTATTGACACTCATCCTTTATATGAAAGAAGGACCCACACCATGAAACTAAGGCCTGCAAACATTTGTATTTAATTGTATCTCGGGATATATGAGTAGTTTCCTAACTAACAATTTTCACAATGTAAACGCTTTGCTCATTTCATTTATACAGTCTCAAGCTGTATTCAAATGTTATACGATATGAAACAACGTTTACTTAACTTCTATACAATGAAATCTGGTGATCTTAGTCACCTACTTATGGCTGTTGGGGGTGGGGAAAACTCTTATTGCATATCCATTGGAGTGGGTCATCGTTATATGGAAAAACGCAAACTTTACCGCACCAATCGAGCACAACCCCTTTTTTTGGTTCTATTTGGAGTCCCAAACAACTATGCAAAATTTGGGGACGATTGGTTGTAGCTCGACTTTCCGAATTGCGTTTGAAATTTGTATGGAAATTAGTATGGGAAAACCAACTTTTTTGCATTTTTATCCCTAGAGACCACAATTTAGCATGAACAGTGCAACTACGTATGTACAAATATAGTCACTTTGTCTTGCGATGGCCTTAAAATTGAAGAAGAGAAGTTGAAGAGTATCAAGAGTTTTCGCAGACCGGAGTCGCAAACCGAAGTGAAGAGTTTTTTGGGACTTATTAACTTCGTGGAACGATTTACCCCAAGGCGAGCCGATAAAACTGAGCGACTTAGAGAGTTATCAAAATCTGATTCTTTCTATTGGACTGGCGAAGAGGAGGAGGAGTTCCATTTTCTCAAGGATGAAGCTCTGAGTGAAGTTGATGTTGATGTTGATGTAGATGCATCTCCCGTTGGACTTGGTGCCGTATTAGTCCAATACGATCAAGACGGCATGCCTAGAATTATTTCATGCGCTTCAAAAGTTTTGACAGACTCGGAAAAGAAGTACCCACAGACTCATAAGGAGGCTTTAGCCATTGTGTGGGGAGTGGAGAGGTTTTCTTTTTATTTAACAAGTAAATCCTTTACCATTCGGACCGATTCCGAAGTGAATGAATTCATCTTTGGCGAGGGAAGAAAGGCTAGCAAACGTGCTATATCTAGGGCTGAAGCATGGGCGTTGAGGCTTCAACCTTTCGATTTTAAAGTGAAGCGAGTTCCAGGCCATTTAAATGTGGCGGATGCCCTATCTAGGCTGATCGACAAGGCTCAAATAGATGCGCCCTTCGATGATAGTGACGAGAAACACGTACTTTATGCTCTCGATGCAGGTTTGATGGATATCTCTTGGAGCGATATTGAAATAGCTTCAGAAAATGACAATGAACTCTCTTCAGTACGACAAGCGATGATATCTAACAAATGGTCTTTGCGCCAATATGAACCACATAAACTCGACTTTCGCTGCTTGGGATCAACAGTGTTCAAAAACCATAAAATAGTACTTCCAAAAACCTTACGTAAGAGCGCCTTGGAATCAACACACCAGGGACATTTGGGCATAGCTGCAATGAAACGCATTATTCGTGAATACTTTTGGTGGCCTGGTATTAGCAGTGCAGTTGAACAGTTCGTTAAATCGTGCAAGACGTGTTTGATTATTACAAGACGAAACCCTCCGATTCCTCTTTCAAGTCGAACTCTTCCTGATGGACCGTGGGAAATCTTGCAGATAGATTTCCTTACAGTGCGCGGATGTGGCTCCGGTGAATTTATGATTGTGGTTGACACTTACTCGAGATTCTTGGCAGTCGTGGAAGTAAGATCCATAGACGCAAAGTGCACTAATGCAGCTCTGTCAAAGGTTTTTGAAACGTGGGGCCTGCCAATGATCATGCAAAGCGACAATGGGCCGCCATTTCGCAGCACAGAGTTTGTCGAGCATTGGGAACAGAAAGGAGTAAGAATTCGGAAATCCATCCCTCTTAGCGCTCAGTCGAATGGAGCCGTAGAGCGTCAGAATCAAGGAATTCTGAAAGCTTTAGCTGGTAGCAAGCAAGATGGAACCAACTGGAGGGCTGCTCTTCATAGGTATGTTCACGTCCACAACACAATTAAGCCCCATTCCAGACTCGGTATCGCACCCTTCGAGCTCCTCGTTGGGTGGAAGTACCGGGGAACATTTCCGGCCCGTTGGGAGTCAAAGTCTGACAATGAACTGGATCGTCACAACGTTAAGGAACATGAAATTCTATCGAAATTTGTGAGCAAGGGCTACGCGGACAACCGTAGAGGAGCTAAGCTTTCCGACATCAAGGCCGGTGACAGGGTCGTAGTTGCGGTCGCAAAATCAAACAAAATTGATCCATTGTTTTCGAAGGAAAGGTACACTGTTTTGACTCGGGAAGGTGCCAAAGTCGTCGTTCAGAGCAGTCGAGGTGTACAGTATGCTAGAAACGTGCAGGACGTCAAACGAGCAATGGACTTCGAGGTAGCCGATGCAGATACAAACGACAACTCTATTCCAAATCCGGATGCAGACGTGGGTGGTATGAGAGATGAAGAGTTGCACGAGATGTGGAATAGTGCAGGTCCTCTGCGAGATGAGGAGTTTTCTGCTGAAGATATGAGTCAGCAAATGTCTGTGAGGCCTAAACGGAATATAAAACAACCTGAAAGGTATAACGACATGTTTCTCTATAGGATTTTTCAGTAATAATTAACAGGAATAGGTCAGCACTGTTCACAATTAAATAAAAGTAAAAAAGATCTAAAAGTTTCCCTTTATTGTCGTTTTCCTAGATTCTCCCAACATCAATGGTAAATACATATGTGTCGAATGCATCCAATTGGTATTTTTGTATATACATTTGAGCCTCCCTTAGGTCTGCGGGTAAATGCGCAGAGCTACAAAGCAAGGCCGTGCTGGTGGCGGCTGGGTTTGAATCTCGGTTCGGTCTAGGAATTTTTCTGGTTGGAAAGTTTGGGATTCGATGGGATTTAGCATACTAACGGCTCCCCTGGCTCCGTTTAAAGGCCATTAATAATGTAACTAAATTTGGAAGAGAGTAGGCGAGGAGGAGGATGTAGAGAAAGGATGGAACTGGGCTAGTAAAGTGAAATAACTTTGGTTCGCTTTAAGAGTTCATTTAAATAGTTTTCATTTAGTGTGTGAACATGGGTATGAGGACAACCCTGTGACAGTGGGAAAATCAAAACAAAGCCTTTCGGTCAGAGACTTTCTCGGCTTTATTTCTCTCTCACTCTTCCTCGTTTTCGCGTTACCGAGAGACGGGCCTGGACAGCTTTCCGACGGTTCAGTCAAGCAGTTTTGAAAAAGATCTTAAAGTGTGAAGTTGAGTGATCACAAAATGCTGCGCAGGGATTACGGTCCTTTTCCAAATGGTGGAAATCACGACAGTGCCTAACCACTTTGACAAAGGAAGTACGGTGCTAGAAGGTATCTAAAAAAGTTATAACAATTCAAATATTTATGGTTTGAATTAAACACCAAAAATCCCTTTTTCTGCCGACACTGCCGGTGTACCAATGGGAGTCAGATTCCAAATTGAAATAATACCGGAGTTTCTTATCTTACCGATTTGTAATGTTCAGATGAATTATTCAAAAACAATTGCTCTATCTCATATGTGTAGCTGGAGAGGGGGGAGGGGTTAATAATATACTCCATCCCCCCTCACTCATATCAAAATTTTCATTTTGAAATAACTTCGGAGTTTCTTATTTTATCGATTTGGTATGTGGTATGTGGTTTGAATTATTAGCAGCTGGGAAATTTTAAATTTATATACAAAGTTTTTATTTGAAATATTAAACTGCCATTCGGGCCACCCGCATATAGAAAACACAGAAGTAGTCGTACGTCAAGAACCAAAAACAAGAGAAAACGAAAACTGTCTTCACCAGTTCCGTCTCAGACACAGGTATTGTCGGATTTCGCTTGTTGGGCTAACTTTAAGTGGACTAAGTTTCAGTTGGGCTCTTAAGCCAAACGTCACTTCTAACAGTGCTGATTCCTTTT